AGATTAATGTAAAAATATCCTCGGGTGAGGATTAAAAAAATAAATAAAGTTAAAAAAAATGTTTATCAATGAAAAAACTATAGAAAAATGAATTAAAGAATGTCATAGAAAACACAAATTATGCTACATTAACATATGAAAAGACAATTTTTTGAGTAATCAGGGAAATGCAAATTAAAACCACAATGAGCCCTGGCCAGTTTGGCTCAGCGGTTAGAGCGTCGGCCTGTGGTCTGGAGAGACCCAGGTTCGGTTCCCGCTAAGGGCACGTACTTCGGTTGCAATTTGTCCCCGGCCCTGGTTGGTCGTGCGGGTGGCAGCCGCTCGATGTGTCCCTTCACGTCGATGTTTCTCACTCTCTCTCCCTTCCTCTCTCTCCCTCCCACTCTGTCTGTGCAAAAAATGGAAAAGTGTCCTCAGGTGAAGATTAAAAAAAAAAAAAAAAAACCACAATGAGATGAGACCATTTCACACCTCCTAACTTGGCAAAAATTAAAGTCCTGCAATACAGGAATTTGCAAGAATATTCAGCAATGGGAACATTTATGTTCTGAAGGTAAGAATGAACATAAAAAAACTTTAGAACACATTTTGACAAATCTAGTCAAATCAAACAGGAATACCCCGTAATCCAGCAATATTACCCCTAAGTATATATACCTCATGGTCAGTTTTATTTATTTTGTTTTTGTAATATCCCTCAGGAACTCTTTTAAAATTTTATGTATTTTATTTATTTATTTTTTTGAATCCTCACCCAAAGATATTTTTTCTTTTTATCAACAGATAGAGTGGGAAGGAGGGAGAGAGAAACATCAATGTGAGAGAGAGACATCAACTGACTGCCTCCGACACCACCCTGACCAGAGCTGGGGATAGAAGGCAATCAAGGTACGTGCGTGCCCTTGACCAGAATCAAACCCTAGACTCTTTGGTCCATGGGCAGACACTCTAACCGCTGAGACAAACCAGCCAGGTTTGTCCAGCCAACTTTAAATCTTGGTCCAGAACCCACACGAATAGATTTTTTTTTTAAATCCTCACTGAGGATATTTTTCTATTTATCTTCAATAGAGTAGGAGGGAGGGAGAGTGAGAGAGGGAGAGAGGGAGGGAGAGGGGCAGAGGGAGGGAGAGGGGGAGACAGAGATAGCGAGCGGGAGAGCGAGAGAGAGAGAAATATCAATGTGAGAGACACATGGATTGGATGCCTCCTGCACAACCCCACCCAGGGCCCGGGACCAAACCGATACCTAGGTACATGCCCTTGACTAAAATCAAACCCAAGACTCTCTGGTCCACAGGCCAACACTCTAACCGCAGAGCCAAACTGGCCAGGGCTCATACCAATAGATTTTACATCCTGACCCAATATAGGTATACCTCAGAGATTTTGTGGGTTTGGTTCTAGACCATTACAATAAAGTGATTATCACAATAAAGGGAGTGAACTTTTATCACAAAAACTTTTTGGTTTTCCAATACATATAAGTTATATTTACATGATATTTTAGTCTATTAAGTGTCTAACAGTATTATGTCTAAAGAACACAAAGTACATATTAAATTTAAAAATACTTTATTGCTAAAAATGTTAACTATCATCTAAGCCTTTATCAAGTCATAATCTTTTTGCTGGTGGAGGGCCCTGCCTCGATGTTGATGGCTGCTGGCTGAGCTGTTCCTGGCTGTGGCAATTTATAAGAATAGGACAATGAAGCCTGTTGCATTAATTGATTCTTCCTTTCACCAAAGATTTATCTGAAGCAAATAATGCTGTCTGGTAGCATTTTACCCACAGAACTTCTTTCAAAATTGAAGTTAATCCTTTTCAACCTTGCTGCTGCTTTATCAACTAAGTTTATGTATATTCTAAATTACTTGTTGTCATTTCAACAATTTTCATAGCATCTTCACCAGGGGTAGATTTCATCTTAAGAAACCACTTTCAGCCTGGTCGGTGTGGCTTACTGATCGAGCGTCGACCCATGTTCCAAGAAGTCATCAATTCAATTCCTGGTCAGGGTGCATGCCCCGGTTGTGGGCCCAATCCCCAATGGGAGCATGCAAGAGGCAGCCAATTGATATTCTCTCTCATCAATGTTTCTATCTCTCTCTCCCTCTCCCTTCCTCTCACTCTAAAATCAATAAAGAAAACATATTTAAAAAAAAAACACACTTTTGCCCTGGCCGGTGTGGCTCAATTGGTTGAGCATCACCCCATGCACTGAGCGGTCCATGGTTGATTCCAGGTCAGAGCATATGCCTGGGTTGTGGCTCAATCCCCAGTAGGGAGCCTACAGGAGGCAGCGATTGATGTTTCTCTTTCGATCTAAAACAAAGAAAGAAAGAAACCACTTTCATTGTTCATCAATAAGCAACTCCTTATATGTTCAAGTTTTATGTTGAGATTGCAGCAATTCAGTCACATCTTCAGGCTCCACTTCTTTTTGTTAATCCTTACCCAAAGATATTTTCCCAGTGATTTTTACACAGAGTAGAAGGGAAGGAGGGAGAGTAGAAGAAGGGTGGGATAGAGAAAAACATCAATGTGAGAGAGACACACAGATTGGCCAGTCAAGGACCAGGCTCCACTTCTAATTCTAGTTCTCTTGCTATTTCCACCACACATGCTCTTACTTCCTTCACTGAAGCCTTGAACCTCTGAAAGTCATCCATGAGGTTTGGAATCAACTTCTTCCAAACTCCTATGAATGTTGACATTCTAACCTCTTCCCGTGAATAATACATGTTCTTAATGGCATCTAGAATGGTTAATCCGTTCGAGAAGGTTTTCAATTTACTTTGCCCAGATCCATCAAAGAACTTAATTATTTGTGGCAGTTAGAGCCTTACAAAATTTATTTCTTAAATCATTAAGACTTCAAAGTCAAAATTACTCCTTGATTTATGGGCTGCAGAATGGATGCTGTGTTAGCAGGCATGAAAACATTAATCTCACTGGACATCTCCATCAGAGCTCTGGAATGACCAGGTGCATTGTCAATAGGTGTATTTTGAAAGGGATATTTTTTCCTTAACAGTAGGTATCAACAGTAGGCTTAAAATATTCAGTAAACCTTGCCCGACCAGTGTAACTCAGTGGTTGAACGTTGGCCCATGCACCAAGAGGTCGTCAGTTCGATTCCTGGTCAGGGCACATGCCCAGATTGTGGGTCCAATCCCCGGTGAGAGGCAGGCAGGAAGCAGCCAATAGATGTTCCCTCTTATCAATGCTTCTATCTCTCTCTCTCTCTCTCTCTCTCTCTCTCTCTCTGTCTCTCTCTCCTTATCCCTCTCCCTTCCTCTTTCTCTAAAATCAATAAAGAAAAAAAAAATTCTGTAAACCACGATGTCATCTAGGCTTTGTTGTTCCATTTATAGAGCACAGGCAGAGTCTATTTAGCACAATTCTCCAGGGCCCTAGGATCTGTGGAATAGTTAAGTGAGCAATGGCTTCTACATAGTCAACCAGCTGCATTAGCCCCTAACAAGAGTTAGCCTGTCTTTTGAAGTTTTCAAGCCAGCACTGACTTCTCTAGCTATGAAAGTTCTAGATGGTATCTTCTTTCAATATAAGGCTGTTTCATTTACATTGAAGATCTGTTGTTTAGTGTAGCCACCTTCATTAATTATCTCAGCTACATCTTTTGAAGAACTTGCTGCAGCTTCTACATCAGTACCTCCTGCTTCACCTTGCACTTTAATGTCATGGAGATGCCTTCTTTCTCATGAACCAACCTCTGCCAGATTCTAACTTTTCTTCCACAGCTTTCTCACCTCTCTCAGCTTCCATAGAAGTGAAGAGAGTTAGAGTCTTGTTCTGACTTTGGCTTAAGGAAATACTGTAGCTGATTTGATCTATCCAGACCACTAAAACTTTCTCCCTATCAGCAATAAGGCTATTTCGCTTTCTTATCATTCATATGTTCACCAGAGTAGCATTTTTAATTTCCTTCAAGAACTTGGCTAGTTGTTCAGTGCAAGAGGCCTAGCTTTATGTCTATCTCAACTTTCAACATGCCTTCCCCCACTAAGCTATATCATTTCTAACTTATGATTTCAAGTAATAGACATGCAACTCTTCCTTTCATTTGAACACTTAGAGGCCATTGTAAAGTAATTAAGTGGCCTGATTTCAAAATTGTTGTCTCAGGAAATAAGGAGGCCCTAGGAGGAGGAGAGAGATAGGGGAATGACCAGTCAGAACACATACAACATTTATCTACTAAGTTTGTTGCCCTGGCTGGTTTGGCTCAGCGGTTAGAGCGTTGGCCCACGGACCAATGAGTCGTGGGTTCGATTCCGGTCAAGGGCACGTACCTCAGCTGCGTTAGTCCTCGGCACTGGTCAGGTCGTGCAGGAGGCAACCAGTTGATGTGGCTCTATCATGTCTATGTTTCTCTCTGTCTTTTTCAGTCTTTCTCTCCCCCGCCGCACTCTATCTGATAAGAAGAAAAATATCCTCAGGTGAGGAATTAAAAAAAAATTTTGCCATCTTACATAGGTGTGGTTTGTAGTGCCCCAAAATAATTACATTAGTAATATCTCATATCACTGACCACAGATTACTATAATAAATATACTATTGAAAAAGTCTGAAATATTGCAAGAATTACCAAAATGTAACACACAGACACTAAATGATTAAATGCTGTTGAGAAAATGGTGCTGATAGCATAGCTTAATAGAGATTTAGAAATCTCTATTGTACCGGGGAAGCACAATGCTGAGTAGCTGCTTCAGATGCTTCTGAGGGCATTATAGAATACATTATAAAAAAACAGTGTTACTACTACTCTCAAAATCAGAAAACTTCTGACTTCCAAAACACAGTTGGCTCCAGGGATTTCAAACAGGGGGCTGTAGACTCTGTATCATTATTCTTATAATAGTAGGTCTTTTAGTATAAAAAAAAAAAATCAACTTATACTTTAATTAAAAAGATAGCAAAATGGGTAGCAAAATAAAAACTGAGACTCTTGAAACCACCATACTAACCTTTCTCTGTGCCTGAGAATATAGAGATGATTTTATTCCTGGGCTTTTTTTCCTCTGGAACAGAAGGCAAAGGTTTCAAACTGTGATTAGCTGACAAAGGATCTTTGCCTCCTGTGCTAAAAATGGTACTGCTCATTCTCACAGGAGGTGCCGGAGGCTTGTCTTCCAGTTCTCCGTTATCAGACATGATTCAGAATTACGATATGGCCTGAAACAGAAAGGCAAAATTTAGTTAATAACAAAGTGAAAAACAGTAGGGACAAGCACAAAACACTAACAACCTCCTCCTCAACTTCGATTTAGAAAATGTTGCCCATTTAGAGTGAAGTTTGCAAGATCTGTAAAACTCAATGATGAAATTTGTCATCTATAAATATAGGCAATCTCCCTTAACAAAGTTAGTAAATGGTTATCTGAGGGAAATGTCTGAAAAGCCATGTCCAGTTTAGAAGACTATGGTAGTTTTGGGAAAGTATGATGATACTAACATATCAAAAGATTCACTTAATTGATTCTAAGAGTAAATGTTCTAATAAAAAGAGAACATAGAGTCTAAAAAAAAAGAATTCCAAAGAGAGAAAGGCTATGTCCTAACCAGCCAAAGAATATGTCTCTGATATATCTCCATTTCTACAGTAGAGACAGGACTCTTGCTATTAAATATACCAATGAACCACCCACCCTGGAATCTGATTCCATGCTCACTAACCTTGTGATTACAACTTATCCTTCATATAAACTTTCCTAAAGGATGAAAATGCGCCACTGATGCAATATTTGCTCTCTGAAAATTTAACATTCTGACCACACACCTTAGACCATTGCAGACAGGGCCACAGAACTTGATCCATCTGGGAACACTGACAAAAGTAAATCCAGAACTTGCCTAAAAACCAGAGTATGGCCACATTCCAAGCTTCTATCACCCTGTGATGTCCTTTCCAGGCAGTCAAGTAACCCCTTTTTCATCCACAAGGCTAATTCAGTGGAAACTTTAACCTTGGTACATATTTTACGTCTTTAAAAACGTGGATCACACACATTTAAAATCAGCTAATTTACAGACAAATCCTTATACAAAATTACATATTCTAGGACACAACAAATTTCTCGACGTTTTGATTGGTGATTAAGATTTAGATTTATTATAAAGTTATTTAATGCCATGTAAATGAACAAAATTTTGTATACTTACAATGAAAAGAATGCCAATTATATTTACATAAAATAAAAAATAAAATTATTTTAGTTTGAATGCTAGTATTTGAAAAAAAGTAGGTATAATTTGGGGAGAGTTGAGGAATGAGAAGATTATTATACCTATTTCTACTCCAGATTGTACAACTTTTGTTTTCCTTGATAGGTGTATGTCACTAGAACTACTGTGTGTATTTTATCTGCCATAACGAGTTATTTTTCAGCCTGCAAAAGGAGGAGAATGAGAAAAGGTAAAGGAGAAAAAAATAAACATTTCTGGGCATAACTACTAGAGAAAGGCTGGGAGAAGGGAATAAAAAAAGATTTATATTGCTCTGGCCGGTTTGGCTCAGCAGTTAGAGCATCAGCCAGTGGACCAGAGAGTCCCAGGTTCGGTTCCCGCTAAGGGCACGTACCTTGGTTGTAGTTTGTCCCCGGCCCCAGTTGGGTCGTGTGGGTGACAGTCAGTCAATGTGTCTCTCTCACATTGATGTTTCTCTCTCTCCCCTTCCCCCTCCACCTGAAGATAAATGCAAAAATGTCCTCAGGTGAGGATAAAAAAAAAAGATTTAGCCCTGGCCTATTTGGCTCAGTGGTTAGAGCATCGGCCTGCGGTCCAGAAAGACCCGGGTTTGGTTCCCGCTAGGGGCACGTACCTCAGTTGCAGTTTGTCCCTGGCCCCGGTTGGGTCGTGCAGGTGGCAACCACTCGAAGTGTCCCTTTCACGTCGACATCTCTCTCTCTCCTTCCCACTCTATCTGAACAAAAAATGGAAAAATGTCCTCAGGTGAGGATAAAAGATTTACATTTATTTGTGAGAAAGAATGCCTGAAGTAAAATTAAACTACTGGTGCTCAAAGGAAGAAAAGGGGGTCAGATATAAGAAGGTAGCACAGGTAACATATAGTCAGATGATTCTTCCAAACCAGCTAATTACATCATGTGGGGTTTGTTTTGTTTTAGGGTAGATATGAGCAGGATGTGACCAGCTGTTTTAAGTGTGTACTGCCAGAGGGGACTTATCTATTGCTAAAAATGGAAGACAGATAAGGCTTAGTAACAATATTTTGAGGATTATTTGATAGACAGATGTTTAACTGTTATGTGACCATAACAGTAAGGCAAAAGCAATGAAGTCTAGAGCAGCTTACAACAGAAACTGCAGGATCAGATTTTAGTTACAATTTGACCAAAGGCATTGTGGCTACACTGTGACCAAATAGCATCTCTATTAATGTATATTAAGTTTAAAAATCAGAATGGGCCCTGGCTGGTTTGGCTCAGTGGTTGGAGTGTTGACCTGCTGACCAAAGAGTCGTGGGTTCGATTCCATTCAAAGGCACGTACCGTGGTTGTGGTTCGATCCCCAGCCCTTTTTGGAGTTGTGCAGGAGGCAACCAGTAGATATACGTCTCTCTCACATTGATGTTTTTCTCTCTTTCTCTCCCTCCCACTCTATCCAAAGATAAATGGTAAAATATCCTTGGGTGAGGATAAAAAAAAAAAAAAATCAAAATGTTATTGGAGAGTCGCCCAAATCTGAGGGGGCTCTTCCCTTCGGCTCTTGTCACACTCAAGAGAAAGATTTCATATGAGTAACAGAAAGCAGTGTTGAAGCCAAGCAAGCAAAATTACCAAGGAAGCAAAGCAAGTGAATTTATTAATAATACATTTGACATAAAGCACAAGTGGGCAACTCAGCTACTCTGAGCATCCTGCCTAGTAGGGGTTCAAGAGTTTTATAACCACCCCCCCATAGGTTTCAAGGTTCCCCTGCCAGACAGACTAGATTTCAAGGTCCCACTTTTACATTGTTGCGGCTTTTCCCAGAATTTATGGGAACATCTGGCGATTTTATCTTGGCAAGTCCTAAGATTGATGACTTCTTTGTTCCATGGGTGAAATAAACTACCCCCTTTTTCTCCCTTTCCCTCCTCCTGCCCTAACAACTATCTTTCCTGCTACTTTGCCCCTTCAAGTGATATCATCCCAAATGCTTTTGAAGTTTTTGTTATTTGTACCCCAGACTTAATCTGTCCTAGGGTTTAGCTGGCAGAAATGGCATTAATTGGGTGTTCTCTATTTTCTCAGGCCAGGGTGATTTAAGCTCTGTATTCTCTGGTTAGGAAGGAGAGGTATAAATCATTTGCCTTCAAGTGTCCTTGGTTGGGGAAGATAAGGTCTTGCAATTTACAAACTGGCTGCAAGCTGTCCAAACTGTTCAGTCTTTTTTAATTTCTTGTCTCAGTTTCCCCATTCCACTTGCCCAAGAATTTTACCAGCTTCTTACTATCCTGCCACAAGAATAATATAATAAAATTTCAAAATACATTTGTATGCATATAAAAAAAATGCAGCAAAATATTAACAGTTATCAGTGGCTACTAACTAATTTTTTAATTGTGGTTAAAAAAATCAGTATCGACTTCCGGTCAAGATGGCGGCGTAGGTAAACGCAGTATCGCGTCCTCCCACAACCACATCAAAGTTACAACTAAACTACAGAACAACCATCATTCAAAACCGCCTGAAATCAAGCTGAATGGAAGTCCTACAACTACGAAATTAAAACAGCAGCCAAATCCAGACTGGTAGGAGAGGCTGCGGTGCGAGTGGCGGGGGGCTGGTCCCACACCCAAGTGTGGCGGATAAAAGTCAGGAGGACACCTCAGCTGGGAAGGTCCTCCCTGAGGACTGAGGGGTCCCCATTCCACACCTGGTGCCCCGCTCAGGGTTCCAGTGCCAGGAAGAGAAGTCCCCATAATTTCTGGCTGGAAAAACCAGCGGGAACTGAGGCTCAGGGAAGCTGAAGCGGCTGGAGCCCCAGGCAGCTCCTTAAAGGGCCGGCGCACGGACTTGTTGGACTCTCTCCCTCTAAGCTTGGCGGGGAGGCAGCTCCAGGGCCGCTAGAGACATACAGGGAAGAACTGAGCTGTTTGGCACTGCAGCGAGGCCTGGAGAGGGGGCTTTCTCAGGGACAAACGTGCTGTCAGAGGCCTTTGTTCCTTTGGTGAGCCCTTCCCAGGGGAGGCAGACAGTCACCATATCTGGGACTCCAGCAACCTGGCTCACACTAGTAGCCCCGCCCTGGTGACTCCCTGAGGCCCCACCCCACCCCATCCAACTTTCAAGCCCACCAAGCTGTTGCCACTTGCTTAACCATAGGATTGGCCTGTCTTGGATCCTGCTTCAGGTTTTTCCTAAATTCTTTCCAACGAGCAGCATCTGGTCTCAGCGAGCCTCATACCTCTCATAAGGTAATACACTGAAACAAACACAGGGAGGCAGCCAAAATGAGGAGACAAAGAAACAGGTCCCAAATGAAAGAACAGAACAAAACCCCAAGAAAAGAACTAAGCGAAATGGAGATAAGCAACCTAACAGATGCTGAGTTCAAAATACTGCTTATAAGGATGCTCAATGAACTTAGTGAGAACCTCAGTGAACTTAGGGAGGGCCTCAAGAGCATAAAAAAGGACCAGTCAGAAATCATGGATACACAGTTAGAATTGAAGGAGGCATTAACTGAAATAAAGAATAATTTACACAGCTTCAATAGTAGAGTACGTAAATCCAAGGAGCAAACCATCGATTTGGAATATAAGGAAGCAAAAAATGCCCAATCAGAACAGCAAAAAGAAAAAGGAATCCAAAAAAATGAGGATAGTGTAAGGAGCCTCTGGGACAACTTCAAGTGTGCCAACATTCACATCTTGGGGGTGCCAGAAAGAGAAGAGCGAGAACAAGAAATCGAAAACCTGTTTGAAACAATAATGGCAGAAAACTTTCCTAACTTGGTGAAGGAAACAGACATACAAGTCCAGGAAGCACAGAGAGTCCCAAACAAGATGAACCCCAAGAGGCCCACACCAAGACACATCATCATCTAAATGCAAAACGTTCAAGACAAAGAGAGACTCTTAAAAGCAGCAAGAGAAAGGCAGCTAGTTACCTACAAGGGAGTTCCCATTAGGCTGTCAGCTGATTTCTCAAAAGAAACTTTGCAGGCCAGAAGGGAGAGGCAAGAAATATTCAGAGTGATGAAAAGCAAGAACCGACAACCAAAATTACTCTATCCTGCAAAGCTGTCATTTAGAATCGATGGACATATAAAAACTTTCCCAGACAAGAAAAAGTTAAAGGAGTTCATCACTACCAAACCGTTATTATATGAAATGATGAAGGGTCTTTTTGAAGAAAAAGATAAAATGTATGAACAAACAAAATGGCAATGAATACATATCAATCAACAATGCAATCTACAAACAAAATGAACAGGTAGAACAGAAACATTCTCATAGATACAGAGAACATTTTGTTGGTTGCCATATGGGAGGGGGGTTGGGGGAATGGATGAAAAAGGTGAAGAGATTAAGAAGTACAATGGGAAAGGGGTTGGGGGGAGGCAAGAAATAAACCAAAGAACTTATATGCATAACCAATGGACACAGACAATAGTGTGGGAAAAGGCGGGAGGGGGGCGGGAGTGGGGAGGAGAGGGTCAATGGGAGAAAAATGAGGAACATCTGTAATACATTCAACAATAAAGATTTTAAAAAAATAAAATAAAAAAACAAAAGTTATATGCCTGGGGTGTGACGACCTACCCTGACTTGCCCAGTTAGGAATTTATGATCAGATCACCCTATGAAATTACTTTCTATAGAACCAAGTTTTTTCCCTATAAGTGCATTAACCTAGTGATCAAGGTTAACGTCTCCAGTTGTAAGTCATGTTGATATCACTCACCTTCAATTCTAATGTGATGAAATGCACACTCCACCTGTGTGGTATTCTTCCCCTAAAACCATAACCCAGTCTAATTATGGGAAAAACATCAGACAAACCCAAACTGAGGGACATTCTACAAAGTTCCTGACCAGTGTCCTCAAAACTGTCAAGGACATGAAAACAGAAAGGCTGAGAAACTGTCATAAAACAGAGGAGTCTTAGGACACAGGACAATGAGAAACTCTTGAAATCCAAATAAAATCTAGAATGTAGTTAATGGTAGTAATGTACCAATGTTGGCTTCTTCGCTTTGATATATTTTTTACGGTTTATGTAATGTTAACATTAGGGGAAGATTGGTGATAGCTATACAGGAAATCTACTACCTTTGCAACTTCTCAGTAAATCTAAAATTATTCCAAAATAAAAAGTCTACTAAAAAGGGAATTAGTAAGTTCTTCTAAGAGTTAAATATGCTACCTATCACATGACTTAGCAATGTCACTCC